TTTTTTTTTTTGGGAAAAATAAGCTCCTCTCCGTATTTTATTATTAATTTCATTTTATATAATAAAAGGATGGGGATGACGTGACAACACCGCATGCCTAAAAGAAAAAGACAGAAGAGACAGCCTACTATATTTCCGTCATTTTTTATATATAAAAAATTCTGTAGTTTTTACTTCTTACGTGTCCTGCGTGTTGCGCATGATGTTCCTAAGTTGCATCGCTTTCCTAGTTCATGTTGAGATTTACCCCCTTCATTGTACTCTTCTTCAAGTACAGTTTGAATCAAATCCTTGCTTGTTTGAATTTACATGAATTTAAACTTGAGATGTTATTTTTAAGTAGTCAGTTTTTTTTAAAAAACTAAAATCAACTCTTTGCTTGTTAGGAGCTGCTCAGTATAAACACTTATAACTACGTTTATGTAAGTCGAGATAAAACTCTCTTTACATTCTTATTTCATATTGTCTAGGTTATGATCAAAAAACTAATTTTGAAGCACTGTACCACAATTCTAAACAAGTACTTACTAGACTTAAAACATACTTTTGGACTCAAAGCCCTGATAAAAGTATTTGATCTTAACTGGCAGGGATTGAGTTTAACAGAATAAACTAATTTTTCATAATATGATAAATCAAAATTTAAATTCTCAATAAAAGAGCTACATATATTTAGTGTAATTAGAGGGAAGAAAATTCTCACCTAACATTGTGATTGGGTAAAATATAAGCTGAGAACTGAGGAGGGAGGGGTAGAAAGGATAGGATGCGTCTGGCAGCATCCAACAAGGCCAGCAGCCGACCACGTCATCCTGTCGTTCCCGGTTTAACATGCGAATACCTTCAACCACCCACCCCCACCTCCACAATTCTATAATATTTACCCTTTTATTTTTTCTTTTAAAAAAAAAAAACAAGAATAACTGTCATGTTGATCGAAGACAATGTTGAATATTAACACTTACAAACATGTGGACACGAGTTGAATATACCATATCTCGTAGCATATAGATTCAGATCAAACAATTTGATCACGCAAAGTTATGATGTCTGTGAATTCGTCAAAATTTGAAGATGGAGCAGTGGCTGGGGAATCAAATGGCAAAGGTATCACTGTAGGAATTGAAGTCAGTCCCCATCCTCTAAATAGTATATTTGACCCGTCTTTCCTTGTTTTTTGACCAATCTTCACAATTACCATTTTATCCTATGAGCGGAATAACGGTTTGGAACCTCTTCTCTTCTTTTCACATCCTCTTCCCTTCTCTTCTGTTTTTAACTACTAGATTAATATTTTAATAGTTCGGATTTAAATATTTTTAAAATTATTATTAAAATATTAAATTATAAAAATAAATAAATAATAAATTATAAACTATATTAAAATTTAATTTTGATGATTTGCAAGTGCACTAAATGTTTTCAAAATTTTTTTTAATAAATAGCTTATAAAAAATTAAAATCTAAACTGTTAAAATATATTAATTTAACGGTTAAAAAAAGAATAGGAGGAGAGATGATGAAGAGGGAAGAGGAGAGGTTCCTAACAGAAGCGAAATAGACCATAAACTCAAGATTTTAAGATTTTGGATCAACGAGTATTATTCACCGTATTTATATGCATCCTCTTATTATTGCGAGATTCCGAAAGCAATATATACATGATATTTAATACTGAGAGGTAATTTGATATTTATTTTGATTCTAAATATAATTTTTAAATTTATTTTGTCTTTTGTATTTATCCATTTCTTTAAGTAATTTCTGTAGTAATTATGCATTCACACATGTTAAAAGTTATGTTAAATGATAATTCTAACTAATACATATGATCAGTAAGGGTGTTCTTGAAAAAATAATACTGATTCATTATAAATAACTAATTTAATAAGTTTTATTAATCTACTTAAATTATTCAACTAGTTTTTATGTTAAGGAACGAAGGTAATACTATTTTTCTAATCAATATTGCTTAAAAAAATTAAGTTTCTTTTATCGAGTTCAAGTACTTTAGATCAATCCAATGGGTTTATTAATGAATTTGAACACAATTCATTCAATAATATTAGAAATACGAAAGACTAAGAAAGGAAAAAAATGATATAAAAAGAATTTAAAAATTACAATATTCTAATTTTGATATCTAAGAATTCAAATTTCAGAAAAAGAAATGGTACTTGATATGGTATTTTATCAATATAATCAAATGACTAAAATGTTTTTGTATAAAATTTTAGAAAAAACTATTAAATTTGTCATTGTAAGTACTTTTTTTTGTTATTAGTTATTTAACATTTGTCATTACTAGTTCATAATTTATTAATAAATAACTTATTATTGTTATTATATTTCTTGTTATTTGTTGTTCAATACTTGTCATTACTAGTTCACAACTGGTTAATAAACTTTCTTTCTTTTTTTTACCAGCATAATAAACTTTCTAATATAAAGGTATTTGTATCATTTAATTACATTTAATCATGCCTCACTTACTTTTCTGAAATTTTAAAGTCCCAAACATCTAAATTAAAATATTACAATTTTTAAAGAAAAACATTTGTCGTGTATAGACTCAAATCAATTTAGTTGCTGTCATAATTTAGTCAAAAAACCGCTTATGACTCCGTCCATTCCATTATTAACAACCACATAATATTCTTTCATCTGCGACCCTATAAGCTCACCTCTTCTCAATAACTAAATATGTACGTAGATCCAAAAATAAAAAATAAACATTAATCTTAATTTAAACTTTTTGGAAGCCAATATGTTTGGTAACAACAAAAATATTTTAAAAATATTTTTAATAAGTTAAGATAAAATTTTTTTCACACATTTATTTTATATATTGTAAAATTATTTTTAAAATACTAATTTGATTTTCTTCCCAATACCCCAAGAATGAATAAGAAAATATAATGTTATAAAAAGCAACAAAAGTGGCTGTCCTTTGAGCTGTTTATCAAATCAAGTTTCAGAGTTTCCTTTTATCAAACTTTTTATTATGTTAAAAAGGAACATGAAGCCGAAAAAAAAAAAAGAAAAAGAAAAGGAAAGTAAAAGAGAAAGGAAGAAAGAAAGCATTCTAACCTTTGTCAGATTACGTGTAGCATGCAGATAGTGCTTAGGGGATCTGCAGTGCAGACAACACACATCTCGACATTTAAGAATCAACGGCTACAAGATACTCAGGTGTAGGATTCCATCTGAAAGGAGACAACACTAGATCATAGCCAGGTTGCTCGAGTTCAGAAAATTTAATAGCGTCATATGGGATTATGGGGATAGGTGGACGGAGAGAGAAAAAGAGACACTGTAAGCAGACAACAACAGCTGCGCGAGATCTTTTTGATAAGCATGCTTGCTTTCTTTTTCATCTTTCCTATATTTATTTTCGCAAATAAATCAATTTTTTGTTCAAAATAAATCACTTCATTAATCTGAATTTTTTTTTTACCACAACCTATTCCTGGTGAAAATCAATACGAGATTGATGGCAAACAAAATCATTTTGAGATTTAAAAAAAATGTAATTATTAAAAAAATTTCATAACAAATAAGCAACATGTAATCACAAGCAATATGTTATAAGATTCAAACTTCATATTAATTTTCTAATCAATTAGTGTTACTGTTATATATTTTTTCTATATTTAATCTCTCCTGTGTTTTTTTGTGTCTCGCCCAAATCAGTTAAGGGAATCTTAAAATATAAAATACATATTATTCCACATTCTTATAAACAAAACAAGTTACTCTAATAATAATGGACACTTTATCTTCTTTTATTCTAATGTAAAATTAAAAAACACACATTTTTTAGATTATGAATAGTAGTATGTGTTACCTCGAATTTGTTCATAATCTATTTCATTTTACTACGTACTCCCTGATTATAAATTAGCTAACATAATTAATTAAATAGTTTCATTCAATTATCATGATTATTAGTATTTTAAAAACTTCTAGTTACTCAGATGTACTCAATTTGAAAACCCTGGTGTATATATAACCTGTTGCAAACTTGGTGCATTCAACGACGCAACAAGGAAATCGCTTTTCCCCCTCCACATATAAATATAAAACACAATTAACTTATTTATAAATATTAAAACATTATTATTTAAGTTAGTTATCTGTTACCACTGTATAAAAAGTGGATCATTTTTCCTAAAATAATACTCTTAAAAGGAGAAAAGTGTTGAATGTTGGAGAGAGAGAATAAGAAAAACTAAGAAATTAATTAGGATAACTAAAAAAAAAATATTTAAACTAAGTCTTATAGTTAAAATCCGAAGGAATGCTTAACAAATCACTTGTTTATTAATAATTAATTTATCAAGCATATATCTTTTTAACCTGGTAATTTATTAAGTATATGAACTCATATGAATGAACTTTTTCTAATCAAATTCAGTAGATTTTCTTATCCACTACTTGACTTGTACTTAATTATTGTTAAGGCATGGTTGCTAATTGCGAATATGAATTTACAGCTTTGGAGGCAAAGCAACATTCACATTGGTATCATAAAATATGAAACCAACCAACCACACCCTTGTTCAAATTTATAAATTACATTTCAACAATAAGTTTTGTGCTTGGTCAAAAAACAATAAGTTTTGTGAAATGAACAATAAGAAACCTCAAAAATCATGTTTTAAAGTAAATTTTTCAACAAAGAAAGAGCATTTTAATTTGGAATTCAAAGGGTTAAACACTAACGATTTGAGACAAACTGAATTCATTAGGAGAGTTTTCATATAGTTGAGTTATGAGTGGCTCCTTGGGGGAAAAAAAACGAAAGAACATGCCAGGCGCTTTACTGAGCTAAACAAGCTAACGTTATTATAGGGAGGATAGGAGGGACCTCATCACCTTCAAGTCTCAGGAGATAGCGTGCCTTGTGCTCTAATTCCAGGATTCCACTCTTCTGCTGCTTCCTATTGGACAACCTCCGAATCTCTCTCTCTCTCTCTCTCTCTCTCTCTCTCTCTCTCTCTCTCCGGGGCTCCCTCCCCAGTCTCTCCTTTCAAAAGTTTGAGATTGAAAAGAATCAGACCAGCCCACAAAGCGTGCTTATCAGTATCAAAATCAAAATCAAAAGTTTATAAAAAGCAAAGCTACCAAAAATCTCCTTGCTATTGTGCCCCCCCCTCTTTCTCTCTCCCCCACCCCTTCCTCTCTGTCTGTGCTCCTTTATTGTAGTGTCTTGTTATTCTTGTTGTCTTGCTGTGGTTTCTAATTTCTACCAAGGCTCTTCTTATATTCTGTCTCATCCTCTTACTTCTTCAGTGTCCGAGTTTTTTCACACCTTCCAAGTTTGCACGCTGCTTTTCGGTTTCTCTTTTGCTTTCCCGTGGTTCACATATCAAAGGTACCCAGAAGCTTGTTCTTTGTAATAAAGAAAGAGGAGACTTTTTAATGCTCCCATACTATCTGAACGGTAATTGCTAATTAGAACGTCCATCGTTTGCTGTTTTTCTTACGCGTGGTTCTTGTTGCAATATTGAGCAGTGGAGTTGCTATCTGAAGGATTTTCATCAGATGGATGTGAGGCCAAGAAATGAGGAGGTTTCTCCTCAGCTGCTAGATTTGATCCCAAAGGATCAAAAAGAATGGCATGTGAACGACACAGACGAAGGAGGAAGAACCCAAAACAACAGCAGCAACAACAACAAGAACAAAGACAAGTCTTGTTGTGAGGAGAGAAAACTTGAGCTCAGACTTGGCCCACCTGGTGAAGATTGGTCTCTCAATCATGATACCACCAAAAACAGTGATGAGTCTCTACTCTCTCTTGGCTACTTCTCTCAGCAAACTCAGAAAATCTCTGACTCTCCATGGGCTTCTTCGAAGGCTTCATCATTTCTTCAGTTCCCATCATGCAGCCCTCAGAGTATGCCAGAGAAGAAAGCTTTCTCATCATCCTCTTCTGCCAATCCAGCTGCGCCCTCTAATATCTCTCAGAAAAGGTATTACTCTAGCCCTTTTCTTTTCCTCCCCCCCCCCCCCCTTTTGAAAGCAATACATAACCTTCATTCTTAGATTTAGCAGTATTTCCCTACAGTAATCATTCAAAATTTGTAACGGTTGCATCCAGCACTAAACTGTGTATTGTTATATTTCAATGGACTTGCAGAGTTCATCAAGTTTGAAGGTCTAATTCATAAATGAGAGCAATATTTTTCTAAAAGATGGAAATTGTGTATTTCCTTTTCTGTTTTTCCTCCTCCTTCCCCCAAAGCTTGTTTCATTTATTTCTGAACTTTAAGGCAGAGGATATTCATTCATAATGAGTGGTCAAATGCGATAGATCTGGACTTGCAGCTCTGTTTCATCCGTTGCTCTTCTCAGTGACAAACAAAGAAAAAAAGAACTTTAAAAGATGTCATAATTGTGGGGAATCCTCATCAACAAAAGGGAACCATAATAAACCGTTCAATCCTATGTACCGTGAACCGGTACTCCCTAATTTTGTTCTGTTATCCTTTCTTGCATTGAATGCTTCAGATATGTCTCCATCTGATTTTCTGATGCCCTCTATCTTCATTTATTATCCTCCTTCATTATATCTTGTCTTAACTCAAAATTGATATTGGCATGCATGTCAGCTTCTGACTCTCTCTCTTTTACTTATCTTTTGCCCCTCTTTAAATTTGCATAAGAATTATTATAAAATATACTAAATTCTACATATGATTCACCAAAAACAAAATCTTCACGAGGAAATAACTAAATACAGGTTAGTTCTTCCTCTTTATTGGTCCCACACGCACGTTTTAGTGTGTGTTCTCATTTAACCAGATCTAAATACAGTTGTTAGACCTCTATTATCATATTCTCTCAATATATCATGGCAGATTTTTTTTTTTTTTAAAACTCTAACTCATGCTTTTATGAAACATCTAAGATTTAAGTCTAATAGTATAACTAATTGTTCAGTTTTAATTTTGAACTTTCTCTCTGGGTCCATAATGAACAGAACTGCTCCTGGGCCAGTAGTGGGTTGGCCTCCAATTCGTTCATTTAGGAAGAACCTTGCAAGCAACAGCACTTCTAAGACAGCTCATGAGACACAGCAGCAGCATGATGTTGCAGACAAGGTTGCTGGGAAGAAACCTGTTGTTGACAACGTTGGTAAAGGTTTGTTTGTGAAGATCAATATGGATGGAGTTCCCATCGGGAGAAAAGTGGACCTTAGTGCTTATGACAGCTATGAAAAACTCTCCTCTGCAGTTGATGAACTCTTCAGATGCCTCCTAGCTGGTATGTATTTAGATCAGGATGTGACTATGGAAAGCTCTGTGAGATTTTTCACTTTTGGATATGTCCGATTTTCTTTATAAAATGTATGCCATGTTATAGGCTAAGTCTATGAAGAGCACGATCTTTCAGAGAGTTGATGAGTACTTTGACGAGTAGATAACTTTGAGATTATCAGTTGACTAATTAAAAAAAAAAAAAACATTTGTTTGAGAATCTTAAGGCAGATCTATTCATCAAGACACTCAACCAAGCTCTTGGAAGGTTGAGCTCTGAATGGAATTGATCTATTTTATTTGACAACTAAAAATCACTAGATAGACATGTAAAATAGGAGATTTAACATATGGTCAATGTGTTTTCGCCCAACAAGTTTCTTAGGGCAAGTCTTTGAAGAGGCCCTTCAGAAACAGGCAAAATATATATATATATATAAAAGGTGAGTTCTGGGTTATCATGCTCAGCACTTGGAAGAAAGATAAGCACAAGAAGCTAGTTATGTTTCTACACACAAGCATGATAAAGGTGGGTTTCACTAAAGATTATGCCACATGGCCTCAGGGAGGCTACATATGTCTTCATAATTGACTCGCTCTATTTATTTCTGGCAGATAGGATAAATTTTTCTTTCTAAAAAGCCTTCGTTTTCCGCTTTTGTTTTTTTGGGTTACTGCTTATCAACTTTACTTGCAGTACATGATAGTGAAACTTGTTTCACTGGGGTCCTTTTTTTTTTTTTGTTAATTGACTGTTCAGCTCAAAGAGATTCCTCTGTTGGAGGAATCCAGAACAAGGAAGAGGAAGAAAAAGCTATCACAGGTTTATTGGACGGGAGTGGGGAATATACTCTTGTTTATGAGGATAATGAAGGAGACAGGATGCTCGCTGGGGACGTGCCATGGCAGTAAGCATCTTTCACCACTGTGGATCTGATGCGCAACCCTTTTTCTTATTCTATTCGAATATATTATATTAATTATTCCTCCACTTGTTGTTTTAACAAGAGCCCAATCCTAAACTAAGATGTTTTTTCTAAATACCATAGCACCGTTTGATTAGATTCCTCATATTCTTATTCTGCAACAATTATATATTCTTCTCCTTTAAAGCTATTTTTGTTCTCATTTGCTTGAATTCCTACTTTCCCTTCCAAACAAACACTATCTGGCAATCGCATGTCTGTTTCTTCATCTGTCCCCTCACAAGAACACACTTAAGAGTGACTCTTGCATTGAGCTCTTAGTTATTGTTTTCTTATGTTTTTGTCACTACTAGCTAAGCTGCGTCTGGTAGCTAAGATTTGTTTTCCCTTTCTGATTTTTTGCAGCATGTTCGTATCAACTGTGAAGAGGCTGCGGGTGTTGAAGAGTTCTGAGCTTTCTGCTTTTACCCGTGAGTGCTATTAAATCTGCTATACTCCTCAATCCAAACTTCCCCTTGAGTTTGTGACTCATATGACTTATAAAACTTGTATTGTCCTTAGTTGGTAACAAGCAAGACAAGAAAACCACTTGACGAGGAGGCAATGATTGAAACTGAGGAATGGGCGAAGCTGTTTAAAGTCAACATTTTGGTTCTTTCACTGATGAAGATCAGGAGAAAAAAATGAAGCTGTTAGCTGATATATATATATATATATTTATGGATACATATTACTGGTCCTAAGTGACGTGTATGAATGCAAATTTTATGCTGATGCGAAGTAGAATTAGGAGAAAGGAAGAACCTGAACGGAGTGTGTGTACTTATGTGCTGTTGAGTAATCTATCTGCTTGTTTTGGTTTGTATGCTGAAACCCTTGTGTGGCAATTGTGGATAGAACTGCTGAGTTCTTTTTCCATTATTAAGGATTTTAAAGTACCCTCTATGGTATTCTTCCCTTATCATAATACTACTATCAAGTCCCCCCCCCCCCCCCAAAAAAAAAAGAAGAGCATAATGGGATAATGAATCTCAGTGAAACTTAATTTGCTCAGCATTAAAATATTCAATGGCAACTTAGGTTGGTTACTTTGACTTGATTTTTTCTCCTTATTTGCAAGACATTAATCCCAAATCTCAATTAAAGGATGTGGAGTCATTTAATTTAATAACCTTAGAAATATTAATAAGAAATACTTGATTTTTGTTAGAACTTAACAATACTTTTTCTAAATTATTTATCTGTATGGATGATCTTGTTAGTTGAATTATATGATATTTAATATTATCTTCAAGCCATTACAAGGGTATCAATAAAATTCCTATATTAGCAGAAAAATTTGAACTCATGTCTTTTTAAGATGTGAATTATATTCTTACAAATTGAACTATCATTTTCATGCATGGATAACTTTTATTTTTTGTTGTCCAATTAAAAAAGTAGGAATTTCATTAGATAGAGAAATTATTATAAAATTCCTGGGAAGGAATGTAATCATAAAAAAATTTCACAACAAGTGAGCATCATAGATTTGTTATCATTTTTCACATTGAAACTTATCATTGCATGTTATTCATTTATTGTAGGATTTTTTTAAATAATAATTACACTACTGTTTTCAGTACTTTATTGATTTTTCCAAAACAAAAAAGGCCCGGGAAAAAAAAACAAAAGAAAAGGGCACATGGTAATCAGTAATGAAATATGTTGGATGTGGAGGAATATTTTTATATGCTTTTATAAGTGGGAGGTGGACCAAGAAGAAGAACAAGAACAAGAACAAAAGACCCTCCACACCCAACGCTTTCTTTCACTTTTTGAAAATGAGGAATGATTCCACTTCCCAAAATATCTATGCTCCAAAAAACAATCCTCCTTTCATTGTTATTCCTTTCCCAGCTACGACAAGATTCTGAAAACTTCATTTTTCTTCCATATTTTCTTCACTAATTTCCCTTTATTACTAAGATTTATTTGTCCTGAAATTACTTCTTCTTAACTTAGATTATCATAACTAGCGCTTATCTTAATTTATGTGTATTAACCATGTTTAATTATTAGCCGGTACCTAGAAATTGCCTAGCACCAACATTGAGAGAGCTAGGTGTGCTGGGACCTGCTCTAGTGTTCACAATCACAAATAAACAAATGTTACAATGATGTGAGATACGAATAATGTTGACAAATATGTGCAAATCATACTACTGTCGATCCTTAATATAAGATCAAGTTCACTAATTTAAATATTTCTGATAGACCATATAACATATGTTATAATTTAGCAATTCATTTATCTTTTTTAATCTGTCCAAATTAATCGATTGAGTCTTATATTAATATTTTTGTAAATAAAGAGAATTTAATCTTTTGACTTTTTGCATATAAAACGTGTGTAGGCAATTATATAAATAATAGGAAAAATCTTAAAAAATGATTGTTGAATTTTAAAATTCTAAAACAGGAATTACTAAAAAAATGTGTTATTATTTGTTTTTCAAATGTAATTATTTTCTTTACGAGTGTAGTAATCAATATTGATTTGAAATTTTGAAATTCAACCATCATTTTTTTGAGATTTTTTCTATATAATAATACATCACAAATAATTAATTAACAACATTCTAATTAATATGGATTGGCATGTGGGTTTCACAAAAATGAGACTGATATTTTCATGTTAATCTTTCTTCTCGTCTTGTCTGAAGCTACATTATGCATTATAGCAAAATTTAAAGCCAGGTTCCTGTAAAGAAAGAAACATAACTACTGAGAAGTAATCAATAGGAAGAGAAAAAAGCATTGAAAAGAGTGAGATGGTAATAGTAGGCCGGCCGCTAGGTTTTGTGTGTGTTTGGGACAAAGGTAATGAGTTACATAGAAAAAGAAAGAAAAGGGAATGGTCAAGAGACGCATCATGGCTATGAAAATAGAAGCAAAAGGGTTTGAATTAGTCTCAGACAAGTGATTCAATGAATGCTATTTCATGCCTGCCTAACTTCCATAAGTCCTAATAGGGGCCACCCCATTATTCCTATCTATAATTACGACAAAATTACATTTTTTTTTCACCCTTTAATTTATTTTATATAAGATTTTAGTTTAGTTTCTTAATTTATTTCAACCTTGCTTAGTTTAGGTCTCCTTAGTTTCGGATTCAAACCTCCTCAAAGGTCGTTGCTCCCGACAGTACCTCGAATAGGATTGCCTCAAATATGAAGATACCTATGCTTTAACAAATTAAAAAAAAAAAAGAAAAAAAAGTAACATTTGGGCTCTTTTGGGCTTCAAAATTCCAGCTCATTCGTAGGCTAATCTCTCCTAATATGGCGAATTAAGATTAGTGTCTACCAGTGGCTCAAATATGATTGCATATAGTATGAGGATACCAATGTATATGTAGGAAAAAAAAGAATAGAATAAAATAAAAAAATACCAGAAATTATAACAAAAAAAAAATACTTCTTGAAAATTACTATTAACTCCTTCTATTTATTTAAAACCAACATATTTACAAAGAAATCCTTCAAGTAATGCTCCACAGTATTTTCTTAGATTAACTTTTAAAAGACTTCCGAAACACATGGTAGGTCAACACAACATTATTTCTCATTGACGTCAAAATATATTCAGTTTTTGCACTGTGTCTTTTAACTTCAGCTTTCAATTGCAATATGTTGGCCATCTGCTCATTATCTATTTCTAGCAATATTTTACTATGTCCAAAAAAAAATCCAAAATTTGGTTTGAACATTTTTAGATTTTACACCCTTGAAATTTTGCTTTGAGACATACGAGTATTATTCAAGCATCTTGATTGCTTGATCATGTTCTTGCATCAGTAATCACTAAAGTGCATGTGTAGTATCTTTTGAATTACAGAATAAAGTGCCATCCCACCTCGTTGATGCTCAGCTCTACCACAACCGTCCGTGTTAAACTTCATCAAACCATCTTTAGCGACTATCCACAACAAGTTGTGGGCTGTTCAGCATTGGATTCGGGAGCCCTCACCCACCCATTATCTACGTACCCATAAAGATCTTCTTCTTTTTTTTTGAATGACTGAACATATTCACATTTTAATCCCTTGATATTTTGTTTTGAGACATATTCAAGCATCTTTATTGATTGCCTGATCGTATGTTCCAGCATTAGTAACCTCTCTGATTAATTGACTAAAGTGCACCAACCCTCTCTTAGGAGAACACATATTTATGAATTGCGTCCTCACCACAATCAAGTAATTGAATCATCGTACAATAAAAAAGGTCACTAATGCAGCAAAAGCAATCAATATAAGTTACATGGAGCAAGAAAAACTGGTATTTACAATCAGAAAATCGAGTCTAGCCTTTGGGCCCACTTGTTTAGGCTCAAAAATTGATAGGAATGAGCTTGAAATTTTGACCTTAAAATTTCCAATTGATGCAAGGTGGGGAAGGGGGAAAGAGAAGAGAAAGAGGGATTCAAAGAGATATAGGAAGAATAAACCTAGCTCTGACATAGGTAAGAAAAGTGAAAATTAGGTTTTGATGCCAATTGATGCAAGGAGTGGAAAGGGAATAAAGAAAGAAGCAAGGAAAAGAGAAGAGAAAAAGAGAGATTTAGAAAGAGATAAGAAGAAGACAATACAATTTCATTCAATATTATAAGTTGAGTACAATTAAAATGTGTGAGAAATATTTATAGAGCTTCACTCTAACTCTAAAATTATTGATAGAAAATTCAAGAATTTAATTACGCTAATGGTAAAATATTTAAAATCAAAATTAAAGTAAATAAAAATAATTCAGTATTATTAAATAAGAATAATTTAACATTAAACAAGATACTCTTCAAATCGCCTTGAAATCTTGTTCTTTCATTTCTAACTCCCATTAGGGGGACCGAGCTTTTGAAGAAGAATGACGAGGATGTGCTTAATCTTATGACTACGATGGACGAAAAGCATTTTTGTGGGAATGATGAGGTACCGATGAATAATGGAGAGGGAGCCATTGGTTCAATTGAGAACAAAAATAACCACTAAATAAGTCATTTTATGTAACATTGATTATTGCCAATATATATATCAACGTTATTACAAATAACATCTTCACTCAGTTCAGCAGCTACAAATGACTTTTTAAGTCAATAATTCAGCATTTCACAGAGACTTTGATGATAACATTTTTTTCCTCAAAGCTCCGATACATAAGGCTTGCAACAATAACAAATTACCCGTTCATCAACCTATATATATATATATATATATATATTCAAATAATGTTAATATTCACCAATACATATAATCAAAGTATCCACAAAAAAGAGATCTTGTTAGATCAAACCAAGCAAAGAGATCCATACATCAAGATATATATATGTATATATATATCAGCAATTTCAAAACCTAACTACAATAAAAAGAAATGTAGCTCATACGTTAATAGCCTTCTCCTCAATAAAGAGCAAACACATCCAAGTGTGTTACTGAACTATATATATATATAATAGGCTTTTTGTTCCTCAAGAATACAACATTTTGCCTGGCTTCAGCCTGTGTGCCATAGCTTGAGACATTACGAATTAATGGATCAAAGTGACATGAAAAGAGGTAGAGATGAAACAATCATGGAGTATTGTTCACCTTATAGACTGTGTTATTCCTCAGTTGGATTCACCATTCTTGTGTGCATATTCTGATGATCTGGGATAGTCTCTGAATCCCTAGCCATGGCAGGATAAGAAGAAGAAGAAGAGAAACTTTTGGTGAATGAAGAGGAAGAAAGGTCAAGCGAATTAATGGCTTTTGGAAATTAGTGAGTGCAGGCTTCTATTTATGACTTGCATTATTATTAATAATGGATAACTGGATCTCACCACTTTTTGGTTTTTGTGATCTTTGCTTACCTCGTAGCCAAACAAGTAATATATGTATTTGTATAAGTGGGAATCCTTTCGTT